GCATTTTAAAGTAAACACTTTTTTTTTTCTTGAGACAGGGTTTCTCTGTGTATAGCCTTGACTGTCTTGGAACTAGTTTTGTAGACCAGACTGGCCTTGAACTCACAGAGATCCTCCTACCTCCACTTCCTTAGTGCTAGTATTAAAGGTGTGCACCACCACCAACACCTGGCTCAAGTAATACTTTCCTATGATTATCAGAGAAATGTGATATTTGGAGACAATCTAGGAAATCTATCGTTCAAAGAAAAAGATTAAAAGCCTCCTTCACCTTACCAACCAGAGATAAACACTGTTTACATTTAATTACGCCTTGAGCAGTTCCATGTTATTCATTCTTCAAAACCTTTTCTTTAATAACTGCCTTCTAGCCCACCCAGCTTATAGCTATGTTAGAATTCTTTTCTACTCTTGAACAGCTATACGGTTTCAATGTCTTATCGGTATTATATCCATTTATATACAATTTACACATTTGTATGGAAGTAAAAATAGTCTGTTAGACTCCCCTTTTGCCCGTTTTTTAAAAATTTAAACTGTGTTTTTTCTAATAAGTTAAATAAGCTTTTTTAAAATATTAATGCCATCGACCACATATTATACTAACTTCAACTATGTTCTGCTTGCCTTTTTATTTTTAAATTCAAGAGTTACAAAATTTTATTAAAATTGATTGTATTTTAAAGTATAATTTATTTTCAATCTATTGGCATAAAACATGTCCTGAAAATTAATAGAAAATATGAAAGAAAGATAAAAAACAAGACTGCCTATGAAGAATGTACAACAGATTAAGCCATTTTATTAAACAGATTAAGACATCTCATGATACGATTCTATAAGAAAAAACACACTTTCTGGCTTGCCACTAGTTTCAAGCATAAAATATGTTGTTTTTCTACTGAGACAACAGAGGTTTAAAAAAAACTATTCAAAAATTTACACAAAACATATACACTGTCAATATGACAGTTTAACATTAATATGCCAGCAATTTCTCTCATTTCATTACTGAAAATATATCTTTAAAATGCAAATGTGGGACAAAATCAACTCACAATACACACAAATAAAAATTATTAAGGTATTTAAATATTGGTTATGATATATTATGTCAAATGTATAGAAAGTAATGATTTTGAAGTTACATTTCCCTCAAGAAAGAACAATAACAACAACAAAAAAGACCCATTTTGGCTGATAAAAAGTCAAGGAAAAAAGCCACATTGTTTTATACTGCAAAAGTTCAGTAATTTTTGAAAATATTAATTTCCAAAATCTGAAGTAGGCTTTCTTGAAGTAAAAAACACAGCTCTTTATTATTAAGTTATTTTACTTCTATAAGCCATAGCATCTCCTTAAATGAAGCTTTATCTTCTTCACCATCAAAATGGAGAATCAAGGTCTCTAGGGGAAAATGGCAGACTGGAGAAATGACAGAATCTTATTTCTCTTCTCTTTTCCAAAACGATACAGAACCAGAAGATAGAAAATGTTAAGGAAAACCCATAGTGACTAAGAACAAAAGCAAACTCACTCAGCCAAGAGAATTCAGCAAGCTGGAAGGCAGAAGGCATGTCAGGTGGTAGAGAGGCAAGCAAAGGTACTCATGTCTCAGAGACAACAGAGAAGAATGCAGCTGAGGAAAAAGTCACCATGCCATAACCACCTGAGCCCATACACCACACTTGTAACTGAATATGTATGGGAAAACCAACAGAAATGAGGTTCACCAAAACTCTATAATCCACAAATTCCCTAGTCAACCATGACTGCACACATGGAGAGTCCTACAGCAGCTTCTTATTGCCTTACTAAAAAATATAGACAGATTACCAAAACTCACAAGACATTGGACAGACCAAATAACACAAATAATGTCCCCAAAGAAGAGATGAATTAAGGAACAGAAAATGATAAAATAATGTTCTTTTTAAAGGAGATTTATTTTTATTTTGCATGTATGTCTGTGTACCACATGTGCATCCAGCACCCATGGAGACCAGAAGAATTATAGATGATTGTAAGCCACCATATGGATGCTACGAACCAAGCCTGGATCTTCTGTAAGAGCAGTAAGTGGTCAAGTGCTCTTACCTACTAGGCCACCTCTCTGTTTATTATCATAAGTTTTCCTACACTGGTTTTTAACAGTTTGTGCAAGGATTTTGTAAAGCTAAATGTATGTCTTAGTTTGGGTTTTATTGCCATGAAGAGACCATGACCATGGCAATACTTAAAAAGGAAAACATTTAATTGGGGCTGGCTTACAGTTTCAGAGGTTTAGTCCATTATCATCATGGCAGGAAGCATGGCAGCACTCGGGAGACAATGCTGAAGGAGGAGCTGAGAGTTCTATGTCTTGATCCAAAGACAGCAGGAGACTGTGTGCTACATTCAGCCTAACTAGAGCATAGAAGACCTCAAAGCCACCTTCAACAAGACCACACCTAATAATGTCACTCCCTATAGCCAAGTGCTCAAACACATGAATCTATGGGGAACAGCCTTATTTAAACAACTACAATGTATTAAGTGAAACCATTTTTTCTTATCCTTTTTAAAAATTCTTTGTGAATTTCACACTGTGTACCACAATCTCACTGTTCCTCCCTCAGCCCTTGCAACCCTGCAGCTACAGAAATAATAAAAATACAAAAAAAGGAAAAAAATCTCACCCAGCATGGAAGCTGCAGTGAATCACAGCATGTTACACAGTATCCCCATTAGTCCACACATCTTTACTCAGGAATGTTCATTGTAAGGAGTCTGGTCTGTTTCAGGCCTCTGGCTTCTGCTACACTAACAATACTGGATCCTCAGATGTCTTGTTGTTGCCCTGTGTCATGGAGATCCTGCAGCTTTGGATCTGTAGTTCTGGCCCCTTCACAGGCTCCAACAGTTCACTGATGGGGTAGATGTTGAGTTGGCTAACTCAAAGTCCTGAAACTAGGCCTGGGTAGTAGCTGAGTTGGTCTGCCCGAAAGCTTTCCTCCACCCACGTTCCCCAATCCATGACATCTCTGCTGTGCTCCGGCCAGGGATGGGGCCACCACCCCTGTTTGTCTGCAGTGGCTAGCAAGGGGCAGGACTGGCTCTCCTGCATCCATGCTATGAGGCCCAGCCCTCCTGCTTTCATGTGTCATCTGCTGTTCATTCACAACTACACCACCAGGGTCAGCTCTACTGTGCTGGCCAGACAAAGTGCGGGACCTGCTATCCCTGTTGTAGCCAGTGGTAACATGGGCCACCGACATTGATACAGACCCCTGCTGCAGGGTCACAGACCCAGGCAAGGCATCAGGTGGCAGCATAGGCTACTCATACCAGGCTAGCCCTCATCAGCCCCGAGTCTCCAGTTCCAGCTCTCTTCATACTGCACACTTCTCCCTAATCTCTCCATCACGCACTTGCTCACTGTAGTGGCGCCTGCACTCACTACTACCAGCAACGACATATCTTTTGTAATGTAAGATGCTTCAACGTTTGTCTAACCCAAAGCTTCCAAAGGAAACAAATCTTAAACACAGCACAAAAAAACCTATAATTCAACAAACAGTCTCATGGTTGAACGTCCACCACAATCAAACAGAAGAAAATAATAAATACACTAACATTGAGATGCCTATTGTAAATACTGTTATTTTACAGACTGTAAGACTAGAAAATTTAACTGATGTGACGTTTAGTAAATGCTGAAGTTTGAATTTAAATCTAGCTTTTTCTGATTCCAATACCGACTATATATTTAAAGAAAGTGTTTGGCAATTCAAAAGATTAAACTTCCCCAGCTCCTGGCAACCAAATTACATCTAATAAACCAAGACCTTTAAGAAAGTTCTAAACTTCACTATTATTCTAAAGTTCTCTCTTAAAACTTCAATAACTCTACAATCGAGAATTATAGAATTTGATGAAAACGTTTTGACCCTAACGTAATCTTTACGTTGTTTTAAAGGTAAAAGTCACTTAAGCCACTATCGGTATGAAAACTCTTTCTACTTTATCTAGCAGTTTCTTTAAAATACCCAGAAGCACTCTGCTTCCCCAGATCCTTTCACATCCTGATATTTACGAACTGGAAGGGAATCCTGCAAGACTCTCTCAGCATCATGCAATACTCTTTTCTCCTTCATTCTTAAGGGGAAAAAAATGATTAGAGTCATAGAGATGGCCCACTGAGAAAGGTGCTTACTGCCAAGCGCACAACCTGAGTTTTGATCCCCAGGACCCACGTGGTGGTAGGAGAACAGACGCCCTTGGGTTAGCCTCTGACTTCAAGCATCCCCCACCCACATACACACAAATAAATAAATATGTAGTTAAAACAAAGAAAGAAATGAGAAAGTCAAACAACTAAATCCAAATGCATGCGTCTGCTTAAGGATTATCCAACAGCGTAGTGCAATGTTAAAAAATTACCAGGACTTATGAGCTTGAAGAAAACAACTTTCACCTGGCTTAACTCCCGCCAGCATTTTCCCCTTAACAAAATGTAATACTTAAATCTTTTCTATGTTATATAATTTATCTGTCAAGTGGAAAACTTACTAAGGCCCTACAATTAACAATTAACAAATGATTGAAACAAGCGTCTAAGTCTGGCAGCTAAGTAATGACAATGTTAATGACACGGCTGTCACCTACAAAGGCCACGCAAAGGACAAAAGCCGGCGAACTTCTGGAGCACTTAACAGTCAGTGGAGCAGTAACTTCTGAGACACCCCACCCTCATCTCTCCAATAGCTGTCACCCTCAGGACTCTCAAAGTTGATCTGAACCCCAGGGAAGCTGTGCTCACGCGGAGAGCCTGAGGGAGAAGCTGAGGGATTCACGACGGAGCTTTAAGTGCTGTTTGATCAGCTGTAGGTTGTCTAATTCAGATGCCCTGTTTGGTCGTGCATGGCCACGGGGAGCAGGTAGGAAAGTGGTCTCTGAGTCGAAAACCACTGAGGGACCAAAGGTCCGGGACAAGAGGGCGGGGAGGGGGCATCACTTGCCTCCCATTCCTTCAAGAAACGCTGGGCCTCGCCAGGACCAACAGTCTTATGTCTCCTAAATTCGTCCTTCACGTACTGGTCACCCAGGGCTTTGAGGTCCGGGGGCAGAGCTCGATGTAGCTGCAAGATTCGCCTATATAAAGACCGGACTCTTGAAACATGCTTCCCAGGCATTGCGCCGCGAGTGCTCGACCAACAGCGCCTGCGCAGAAGGTCGGCGCGGCTCCGCCCCATTGGGAAGTCGCCGCCTATGGGTGAACCACAAAGTGGGCGGAAGAGAGCGTGCGACCTTCATCCGGTTTGGTCCGTCATAGAATCCCGTTCTTCCGGAATCCCGGATTTTTTTTTTTTTTTTGGTTCTGACCCAACCCCTCTTGGTGCTGACAGAAACCCTCCGCTCCTTCTCGGCTAAAGACTGTTGAGGAGTCATCGCAATTTTTCTAGTTTACTCGAGAGAGACGCTGTATAAGACAAAAGTCTTGTGTGAGAGAGTTGTTTGTTACTCAGAGCTAATTCATCGTCGTTTCCATTCGCCAGTTTTTTATTAAAGATTTGAGAAAGACTTCATTAAACTCAGTCTCCTCCAAAAAGCCTTGCTTGGTTAATCCAAGTGTTGGAGCTTCTGAAAGAGTGTGGGGTTCACCGCTCCCTCCCAACAGCCCACGTTCTTTGCACAGTGCTGTACTTGGAGTTTATGCACTGCAAACATAGCCTCTTCCAGGTAACGAACACAAGGGAGCCCTAGCTGGCAGACTTTGTTAGTCCAAGTCTGTGGAAGAATCTTGGGAGGAATTTTCAGTGTATCTTTCCCCCAAGGCCACGATCCTGAAGATTTTTATTAAACAATGTGAGCTGAAAACGAGAAATCTAGATGTTCACAAGTCCAAATTTGTGTAGAAATGATTTTTTAAAAATTAACTATTTTCAAGAGCTGATAGTTCCTTGTCCTTATTTTTTAGTTCCCATTACATTTTTAGTCCTTCTCTAAATCCTAATGGCTCCACCACCAAAGTCACGCAGGAATCAAACATGATTTCCACCACACCCTGTACCATAATTACCTCTTTCTACTGGATAGCTACCGCATCCGTGTTCTTGCCTCTGGCCATGTTAAACTCGAGTTATGATCTACCTAGGCTGCAATTAGATAATGTCGTTCCTCCGCTTGACAAATCCTCAGGAGCATTCTGTTACCGAACAATTAAAAGTCTCTATACCTCTAGAATTTAAATTTTCTATTTACTCACTCCCTAGTTAGTTCCAGTCACATTGGCCTACTGGTCCTTCACCTTTGAAAAGGCCAGGCACACTTCCAACCAGGCCTTGTTTGGAGCCCTTGACCCACAGAGGGTAGGGAGGAGGAGGCATCGCTTGGCTTCCATTCTTGCAAGAAATGCAGGGCCTTGACATGAGTCTGCTCATTGTTATGCGACCTTTCCTCACAGCCTCCTAACAGCCTTCCTAACAGCGTTTGACACTGTAACACAACCAAGCCAAAACTCCCATGCTACTCCTGCATTCTTTCGTCTCCATAATACTTAGCACGCCATAATTTACTTAGTTACTTCATTCTTGCTTCGCACTAGAATATCCAGGGGAAGGAGTTTTCCAGGAGGAAGGAGTATTTCCCACTGGTGTGTTTGTGCTCTAGGCATGTAATAACCACTTTCCTGTTGCACTGGTGCAGAAAGTTTATTAATGGTGTTGAGCATCTCAGGATTTACATGTTGGTAAAACACAAAAGAGTGAGAGCATGTGCTGTTGTTTCAAAGACACAGGATTTCTGCCCGGGTAACAACTATGAAATTAAAAAAAAAAAAAAGACAATAGCTTAAGATATTTTACTCATTTCCAGGTCTCACTACTGTACCACACAAATAAGAAGCACTCCAGCATTTATTCCCTTGAATAGAGATTTTCCTTTTACTTAACTTTAAGGAAACTATTTGCCTAAAATAATGTTTTAATGGATTTAATTTGGTATTGTGACAAACCACATTAATGGCAAGGATTGAAGAGCAGTGTGGTTATTTTATTTCAGGACATTCTTGGGACCAAATTTCATCTGTTAATATCCCTGAAAATTGAAAATTATTTTATTCTAGTTTGATTTGTTTACTGGTTTCTCTTCAGGTTAAATTAGCAAGTATAATAAATCCTTCTTTCAGAGCCAAAGCTCTTTATTAAAATGTGGAAAAGCATTCTGCCAATGAACTAATAAAAGAAATGGTTCAGCCTAAAAGGAACAGAAAAGATCCACAAAGCACTAGCAAATCAATGGTCAGAAATGGAGGTGATGGGCAGAAAGATTCTGAGATGCGGTGGCATGGTTAGACCTCAAGAAGGAGTCAATCCGTGATACCATATGGCAGATGATTTTTTTTTTCCCCACAATGAGCAGTGCACTATTTGGAGGATGAAACTTTCTGTTTCTCTGACTCTTCAACTCAGCTTCCCTCTTGTAGTCAAAGAATTCACCAACTTAAAATAAGATTTGAGTTTAATTCAAGACTACTGATCCAGATTAGTTACACTTTGTTTTGACCACAAGAGGAATATTAGAATCGGAAGGTCATAGAAACAGGGAGGGTTTGTATGGACCCTCTCCAACACAAACAGAGGTGGAAGAAGCAGGTAGAAATGGTGTTTGAAAAGCAGAGGGAGGTTTTGCCTGAAAAGAGATAAAAATTATGAACAAGGAAAACAGCCAAAAACAAACAAGACACAGAAAATAAACATCTGAATGTTGAATTGATACTTTATGTTATACTCCAGTATCCATAATGAAATGTAGAAAATAGGTCGTGTTTTAATATCAGTATCAACACATTTTCCAGGGCTGAAAAGATGGCTCAGCAGTTAAGAGCGCTTGCTGCTCTTACAGAGAATCTGGATTTGGTTACCAGCACCCACATAGCAGTTCACAGCCATCCATTGCTGCTGTTCCAGGGATCCAACTCTCCCTCCTGGCCTCTGTGAGCACCAGTCATACACATGGTGCACAGACATGCATGCAGGCAAACATCCATATGCATAAAACAAAAGTCAGGCCCAGTAATTTTTTTTCTGTACTCGGGGCCTGATATTAAGCAAGCACTTGTCCACTGAGCTACAAAAATGTTATATTCTGTTTTGCCTGTTGGCGGTGGTTAACAGGCCCAGGGCTGACCAACTCAGCTACCATCCAGGCCCAGAGTTGGTCCACCCCAACATCTACTCCATCTATGAGCTGATGGAGTATGCGAAGTATGTATCCTACAGAACTAGAGCCACAAGATTTCCATAACTCCGAACAATAGCAAAGGCAGTCTCAGTGAGGGTATGACAGTATTTATGGTGTGACAGGAGCCAAGAGACCTTGAACCAGACCAATGACTCATTGCAATGAACATTTGCATGTAAAGCTGTTTGGGGAAAAAATACCCTGCAGCTTCCAGTGTCACTTTGAACAAATACATGCTGGAGAGGTGGGAAAGATGGAGAAGAATGGAGCAGTGGAAAAGGCAGAACTAGACACTTGACAGCTGTGACAGGTGTGAGAGAGAAGGCTTGCACAGAGTTGCCCCTCACCACCAACAAGCTACCTGGCCACACAAACACTTTGGTTCTGAGCAACAACAGGATGTTCTAGATGAGGAACATCGTTTACTGGATTGAACCTCCTTGAAAGACTTCCATGGTCCATACTTCTCCTAGAGGCCATGCTAGTCCTTGGCTGTGTGCAGAGGGCCATGCTGATGTCCAAGGATCATATTGCCATTTGGAGATCAAGCAGAGGTCCTTGGCAGGTGCTAATGCTGGAGAACGGGTGGATGCTAGTGATCCATGCTGTTGCCAGAAACCATGTAGAAGCTCAGGATCAGTGTTCTGCTGACAGTAAAGGGCAAGGAAGCTACTTTTGTAGTAGAATCAATGATTACAGACTCACAGTTGAGAAGAGAGACATAGAAGACTTCAGTAACAACCACTGCCTCCACTCCCACCACCACCTGGCTACAAAGGAAAAGGCCTTAAAAGGAAGCCATCAAAGAGAACTCTTAAAAAATGGAAATAGACCTACCTGAAGACCCAGCTGTACCACTTTTGGGCATATACCCAAAAGACACCCCACCATACCACAAGGATATATGCTCCACTATGTTCATAGCAGCCTTATTTGTAATAGCCAGAAGCTGGAAACAATCCAAATGTCCCTCAAAGAATGGATACAGAAAAGGTGGTTCATTTACACAATGGAGTACTATTCAGCTATTAAGAACAAGGACATCATGAGTTTTGCAGGCAAATGAATGGAACTAGAAAATATCATCCTGAGTGAGGTAACTCAGACCCCAGAGGGCATGCATGGTATGTACTCACTAGTAAATGGATATTAGCCAAAAAGGACAGACTACTATGATACAACCCACAGAATTTAAAAAGTTTAATGAGCAGAAAGGCCAAGTGAGGATGTGTCAATTCTACTTAGAAGGGAGAAAAAAATAATCACGGGAGGCAGATGGAGGGAGTGACTTGGATAGGAGAGGGGAGGGAAGGAAAAGGAGAGCAGGATCAAGTATGGATAGGGGGAAGACAGGAGAGAAGCCCAGAGTGCCAGCAGAATGAATGGAAATATGCATCCTCAGAAGGTGAGAGGGAGGGAGAGCCTCTAGAAAGTATCAGAGACCAGGGAGGTGAGAGACACTCAGAAATCAATGGGAGTGATCTTATATGAAATAGCCAACCATGGGGAGAGGGAACTCAAAGAGTCAACCTCCAGTAGAAAGACAGGGTCTCAAGAGGAGGGATGGTGTTACCAACCCACAGTAAAAATTTCTGACCCAGAAGTATTTCTGCCTAAAAGAACTTGAGGGACAAAAATGGAGAAGAGACTGAGGAAAAGGCCCTCAGTGACTGTCCCAACTAGGGATCTATCTCATAGGGAGACACCAAGGCCTGACACTATTACTGGTGCTATGGTTTGCTTACATACAGGAGCTTGGTATGGGTGTCCTCTGAGAGGCCCAACCAGCCGCTGACTAAGACAGACCCAGATACAGGAAGGATGGAAGAAGCTGAGGAGGAGGGTGACCCCACAGGAAGACTAGCAGTCTCAGCTAACCCAGACTCCAGGGAGCTCCCAGACACTGAGCCACCAAGCAGGCAGTATGCATGAGCTGGTACAAGGCCTCTGACACATATATAACAGA